TCAGCCTCCATCTCATGAGTGTCATTTATTTACATACACAAAATATTCCTTCGTCACTTCCCTCATTCATATGAAAATAATAAGAAGGAGAAAAAATTATAAAATTTTCATCTTCGTTCACTCTCATTTGTGTTGTGTCTTTTGTTCTCATCGCTTAACATTATTTGCCTGCTTGCTATTTAAATTACAGTAATTTCACTCATATCACATATATCTTACGCATAAATGTGTGTCTGTATGAGCCATCAGTATGTGTGGATATGTAAATGGCACAAAAAAGGGAAAATTTGAGTTGAAGTTAAAAAATGGCAGTGGATGTGTGAGAGCGAGGAACAAGAAAGCTTTTATGAAAAATCGTGAAAAATTAGATTCATTTTTTGGCACATTCTTATGGCACTTTCTTGTGTCATGCTGAGTCATATCTCACATCTTTTTATGATCTCTATGGAGATTGCCATGTAAATGCTTATGCCTTCTCTGCCTCTCTCTCTTTCTTTTTTCGGCAGTGTCATGCCACTTACTTACTTTATTTCATTTTCTTTCCACATCCAGTCTCTATGAGTACGACTGTGAACTGAAGCGTTTGAAGGTAAATGAAGGAAAAAAAAGTTTCATAAAATGCTTGCTTTAATGTTCCTCTTGAACTGCTACTAGGCTCGTGGAAACGCTTCTGTTGACATTTTTGTAGAGAATAAATATTCTTTACTGTTGAAATGTTAATTTTGCTTTTAATTTTTTTGTACTTGATGGCATTTATATCCGTTTATCTTTGTACAAATTTACACAAGCTGGATTTTTGAGCTGGATATTTTAACAATTTGTATAGTAGATTTGCCGTAGGGGATGATGATTTTTTAAATAATACAGAACCTTTGATTTGAAACTGCAAGTAAACAATCAACTTTTAGTTTGTGAAATGAAACGAAAAATGCTAGGTGCTGTAGAGCAGTGATGGCCAACCCATGTTCTACGGCACACTAGTTTTTTCCGTAAAAGATTCTAGAACTCCAAAGAATCGTTTGTTGTGCCGTGTCACGAAAAAGGTTGTACACCACTGCTGTTGAGTTTTTAACTTCACAATCATTCTGGCCACTTGAAAATTTTGTTTTAGGATTTTTTCCCTATTTTTTCGGCCTTCCCTGCAAATTACTGCTTTACAGTCGATAAGGCTACCAAGTCAAGTCAAAAATAAATCTTTGTGACTTACCTACTTACTTTGCTGGTCGTACAGATCAATTGTGATCCATGAGTTACCTCAGATGCTGCTGAAGTCTGGCTCTATCGCTTTTCATGAGTTCTTTCGCTTTCCATGAGTTCTTTGGCCTTCCACATGATCTCTTGCCATCTACAAAGTCCGATTTGAGAATCTTATTTAATGGAGCTTCCAAAGACTTCTTATAAATTATCCAGTCCATCGATGTCTGTTCACTTTTATTCGATAAACCTTTGTGACACTGACACTAAAGTATCAGAGAAGCTCTGGATTTATTTTGTGCTAGTTTAGAGTCGACTGCTTGGAAAAAATATTGAATCAGGTTCCTAAAAATCAGAAAATTTATAGCTTTTTGCTGGAACATTCCCGGGTCTCTTCCCAAAATATCATTCATACCAATTTTGTGATTTTTGTCATTGAAATTTTCTCAGAATTCTGTTTATTAAAATTTCTTCTGCTTTTGCCAAACAATGACAATTTCTATTTTCATTATGTTGAAAGCTCTTCGTCAGAATTTCCAAACGCAAACACATTTTTGATGTATACAATTTTGTAATCCTCAATAATTTTTTCCTGGAAGACTCCTCGCTCATTCTCATTCGCATTCGTCAAATTTATTCGATGCTCAAAAAAAGAAAATAACAAAAGACTCGGCAGTGAGAATCGAGAAAGCAAGAAGAAATGAAAATTTTTCATCGTATGTCATGTTATCATGTATACAACACCATCATCACCATAATAATCATCCTCATCAGAGTGTGTTTGTTGTTTCAGTAAAAATTTCCTGTTGTTGATGAAAAAAAAAATTGCGTGAAAATTTCAGAAACACAAAGAACACCTCACGAAGAATGAAAATAAAAGGAAAATTTATGGAATGCTTGAAGCTATTGCTGGCATTAAAAGTGTGAGTGGGAAGTGCTTGGAATTAAAAGTGAAAAGGATTCTTGTGTGGCTGACAAATTGATGTGCAACTAGCTAGAATTTTACTTCATACTCTCCTGCCTTCTCGAATGCTGTCCATTGCAAAAATCAACACATTTTCCATCAAACTTTACCAAATAAAATGCTCAAAGGCTTGGAATTGAGTATTAATTTTGCTGCTAATATTTCAACTTTAAGAAGCTTTCATCGTAAAAAGTTAATTTCCTGTGTTAACCTTTTGGCTGTTTTTGACATTTCGGAAATTATTTGCTTGGATATCCAAATGTAAAAATTGCGAGAAAAATTAAAAAAGTTCCTTGTTTTTGGCATTTTTTTTAAATTACAAAGGAGATGCATATAATGTTAAGGACAAAGGTATTCTGACTATGGACTTGGTGACTTAATGTGGGAGTTGCTTTGAATTTTTCGAAACAAATTAATAATTAAAATATTGATAACGCAATGTAATGCTGCTTTTCAGACATAAAGATGCAAGCAGCATGAATACAATGTAATCGTAGAGATGCCATTATGTCGCTATCTGAAAAGGAAATTTTCAATGTGACATAAGCAGGGTCGTGTCGAGAGAATGAAATTAAAATTGCAACCAGAACCCCCCCCCTGTTTTCATATCACATTATTAATTTCAGTTTATTCATCTTAAATTGTGCAGCTGTGTTACTAAACCTTTAAGCTTTACAATTCTATTTTTAACATTAATAATTCTATTTTTAAATCTATATTATGGACGCTAGCTCAATATATAGCGCATAATCTTAACTAAGCAGTTGTGTGTCCTGCAGCCAATTAAAAACTGTCTTTAGATCTTAGAACTAGTGTTCATGCCGGTTCTCGTTCAAATTTTCAGTAATGGTCACAATGTCTCCAGATCAGTTCCAGTAAAAGCCCTTCATGGAAAATTTACGGCTCTCGTATCTTTCTCTTTCTGTCTACATTATTCTTGATCCGTTCCTACATCACACATCGCCTAATTCTTAGTTTTAAGTCTTAAATTGCTGCTGCTAGATCACAAATTTGAAAAAAAAATTTGCTTCACACCTGCATCTGCACATGAGAGTGTCATCAGACCTGTGGTTCGACATCAAAATACTATAAGATTTCCAAGGCGTGGACACTGGGATTAATCCCAATAATCCCAAATCATCCCAAAGAATCCCAAATAATCCCAAAAATCCTGAATATTCCCAGCATATTTTTGAGTGTCCACGCCTTGAAGATTTCCAAGAAATTCTCCTTATTAAATCATCCCCCCCTCCCCTTTGTGACGTCTTATGTGACATCTACGAGCAACATAAACTCTTGCTACACCCCTAAGTCCAAATTTAAGCATAAAAAATTCCAATTTCCATCGAAATCCCAAAACAAAAAGCAACATTTTAAAATTTTAAATCCAATATTGCTATATCCTTTATCAATCCAACCCACTTCACAAGATTCACATCCAAAAAACATATTTATTCACTTCAAAGAGAAACTTTCAATGTGCAAAACCTGGAACCTCAACGAATTTAATGTTGTTATTTCTTCTCCACAATAATCCATGCTCTCTCGACCCATGTTTCATAAACAATTCAAGTGTTTCTGGTGCTTCCAAAATAAAAACTTTCTTAAAAATAAAACCACAATAAAGAAAAAGTGAGGAAGGAAGAAATTTATTCCATAAAAAGAAACTTTTTTCTTTCTCGCAAGATTTTTTTTTTGAGTTTGAAATTCAATTCAATGCTGAAATGGAAAGATGAAATAAGAAAGTCCCTGAAATTAGACGGAGAAAAATTGTTTGGGTTGAAAAGTCTTTTTTTAAAATAAAAAGTTTTAAAATTTTTCTTTGAATGTGTTTGGTATTGATTGGAGTGGCGGTGGAGAGAAAGTTTGTCTTTTCTTTTGATAAAAAGTTTGAGGTGCAATGCTTTGAATGACATAATCTGTAGGTGTAGGATGAAAAGAATCTAACCTCAAAGGTGTTAAGAAAATTATGCTAATTGAATTTATATAAAATGTGATTAGAGGTGATTATTATATTTCTCAGGTTAAGGTCATGGCATTTTTTGTTATGAAACGGTCGAGTCTCATAGGACCGATCGAAATTCGGCTGAAAATTCGGTTACGTTTCGGTTCAACCGAATTACAGTTGACCGAAATTCGGATGAAATTGGGTTTAATTTTTTATATTCACTAATACACCGTATTCACGTGGAAACTATCTAAACCAGTGGTGGACAACCTTTTTGAGCCACGGCACATCTTGAGTATAAGCCTGAAGGAAACCGAAAGGTGCACATGATTCGTGGAATTTATTCAATTTTTTTGCAGCACACACTTAAGTGCCGCGGCACATGGGTTGATCATCACTGGTCCAAACACACTTGAATTGTCTCGCAACACACTAAATGATTTTCATGACCTTTCTGAAGCCATAAAGCATGAAAATGTAAGAATTTCCTAAACAGCGTTGACAGCTTCTCTGGAAATTATCTCTTAAATGTGTGTATGAGCACCCGATTTGAATGATTTTTCTAGTTGATCGTATTCTCAGCCTAGCTCGACTTGGATTATTCCGTCCTTTAGTTCTTTAGATTCGAGGATTAGTCACGTATTTGATTCAGTTTGAGTGTCTGCGCTTCTTCTCTCAATAAACCTGGCAAATGTGTGGGAGGTGGTTGACTCCATTACAAAACTCATAAAAGATTGCCAACCTACAACAAAATAAATACATACACGAAATAAAGCAATAAATTTCATCTCCACAGGAAATTTTGTCTGCATAATTTTCATCAATCATGAGTTGTAAAGTAAGTCTAAGAACTTTTAACCATACATATTTTCTCTTCTGCATTCTTATCCACAGACATTCATCATCATGAAAATATATTTTCTCGTATACACACTGGATACATAAAATAGAGAGAGAGAGATCGAGTTGAGGACAAAGAAGGAAGTGAATAAACAAAAAAAAAAGCTCAAAGTAAATAAATTATGAGAAATGCGGTAACTAAAGCATCGGAAGTAAAAAGACAACCCCAAAGGGAAGAAGATGGATAAATCACGGTACAAACGTCCGCCGGATGTTGACGAGGCTTTATCATCAATGCTGTGGACACCGTATGATCAAACTGTAAATACCTCATCATCATCAACTGATTCATTATCGGATGATGAGCGTGAACGGGAAAAGCGGAAGTTAAATCGATACTCGAATCCATTGCCGAGCTCATTAAATTGGTGGAATAGTCACGTATCGAACATACATCCAACATCATTAAGATATAGTTTTCCTTTCTACGGAAATTACCTGCCGCCATTACCACAACAACAGCAGCAGCAGCAATATAGCAGTAATACAGCAACAACAATCACATGCACACCGCATGATAATGATAACATGACTGCTTCATCATTAACCTCACCTACCGCATCATCATTATCAATAGGAACATCATCGACAGTAACCGCAAAGAGACTTTCATCAGGAACTCTTGATATGGATAATAACAGTAATGGACACAATGTCAACACCTCTCAGTATCCGACAACAATGATTCACTCATTCACAGACGATTTCTATCAGTATCAGGTAATAAAAATTCCAGTGTTTGGCTTGATATTTTTAGAATATACAATTTTTTTATTCTTCTGTGTCTGTTTGTTTGTTTACCAACGTTAATGCATCGACGCATGTTGTGAGGGATTCTAAACGGTTCTGTACTTTATTTCCATATGCCTACGTTGCGCTAATGATAAATTTTTCTTTTATTTTTCTAAATTTAGAAATTTTATGTATTGAGGTGAAGTGAAATGTGGAAACAAAAACTGTAATGAATTCCTGCGTCATTCGGGAAATTTATTTTTGAGGGTGCTGAAAAAAAATTTTTTTTTTGTTTCGCTGTCAACATGGAAATGGGAATTTTTTGTGAGCAACATTTTAGAGCAGTTTTGTTTATACTTTCTGAGCCACGGCACAAATAAGGGGTAAGCTATGACCAAAGTCGTACACAGCATGCGGCTCATGTCAGAGTATTGTAAAATGATTTGAATTTTTTGTATGCTTTAAAGTTTCTTACTTACTTACTTTGCTGGTCGTATAGATCAATTGTGATCCATGACCTCCCTTAGTCGTCCCCTAAAACTAGCTCTATCGCTTGCTACTGTCTGTCAATTGCCGATTCCAAATACAACATTATCTCTATGAACAGCCTCTTTCTATGAGTTCTTTGGCCTTTCACGTGATCTCTTTCCATCTATAAAATCGGATTTGAAAACCTTATTTAATGGATCGTCAACAGGACTTCTAATAACATATCCAGCCCAGTTTAAACTCGCACGTGCATAATATTATTGCAATTCAATTCCAATGCTATATTAAGTATCGAAAAGGAACTTCATTTAAGGACCTTCTTGACCCTTTTGAAAGCGTTATTTGATAAGTGACGTTACCTACGTCCTATGGGATCAGTGGTTTAGCCAAAAATTTAGGAATACATCTCATAGAGATAGCCAAGGCAGGTTCCAACAACATCGAGGATAAAAATCCAAATTCACTCGGTTTCTAGGGATCTTCGAGGTAATCTACCTTAGAATAGAAAATCAATTTACTGAACTATAGAGCATGAATATACTATGACTGTTGAGCGACCCTAATAATTCCTAAAACCCAGCCCCCAGAGACATTTGATAAAAATATCACCAAAAAAAGCTAGGAATAAATTTATTAGCTATGTGCCCCAGTGAAACTACCAAGTAGCTACAAATATATCACTTCCTAATTCTCGTTTTGCTGCTATTTACTGGTTAGAGCATTGGTTCTTAATCTGTGCGCCATGAAAAAATTTGGTTTCTAAAATTGACCCTTTATTTTTATGTTTTATGATCTGTTAACGGTACAATAGATTCTATCATCGATCTGAATCCCAGTGGCTTCAGCTTGTCGCAACGTGAAGTAACACATCGCTTGGCTGGAACCCTCTGACTTTGACCCTTTGACCCTTTGACCCTTCAACCCTTTAACCCTTTGACCCTCTGAATTGTTATATTCATGTTTTGTGAGTTCAAAAAGGTCATAAAAATCATGTAGTGTGCTACAAGAATTTTAATTTTAAATAATATGCCGTAAACCAGGCGCGTAGCCTGAGGGGGGGGGGAGGGGATCTATGGGACAAATCCCCCAACGTAAACAGAAATTTCTTTATTTTGCTAGGGTTTTTATGAAAAAATCACAAAAATACCCCCCCCCCCCCCCCTTAAATTTTTCCATACAAAAAAATTTTTGGTCCCCCCCTCTTCAAATTCTTGGCTACGCCCCTGCCGTAGACCAAAAAAGTATAAGAAACACTTGGTTAGAGTATGCCTGACTCTCCAAAACATTTATACACATATCTACTTCTGTACTGTGTCCCTGGGAAACTCTAGACTTGATTTTGAAAACAATTTCACTAATTTTAGATGAATTCAAGCAAGATTCAAGTCTGATTACAATCTAGTGTCCATTCAACTGTAACTAGACTGTGTTGTGACTAAGTGAGGAAAATATTTTCAGAATTATTTTGCAACATATTATAACAATCAGCATCATTATCTTTGTTCATTAGAGTAGAAATGTAGTTCAAGTCCTTCACTTCAATACTTTCCATTGTTAATCATCAAATTGTGTTAATGGCATTAATTGAATTTGATACATCCTTGGCACAGGGGATCAAATTATCGAATATAAGCTGTATAATTTTTCAAACTAGCACACAAAATTAAACATATGTACCAAAAAATAAATAAATAGTCAATAAATATTTACAAAACAACAGAAATTCAGAAAATGTCGAGAATAAGGAATTCTAAGCATCAAATGCTATTCATAGAGAACCACACATAATATACAAAAAAAGAAAGAAATGAAATGAAGGGTGTATAGACATTATGAGAATGAGAATTGAAAAAAAGCAAGCAATCGGCATCTCAAATTACTTTTTTTACATTAAATGAACCCAAACGAGCAGACATGAGAAATCCAAAAAAAAATATATATGAATGATGATATTTGTTAATGACTACGAATCCTGCTTAAACATGTTTTCATTCATTTATCTTTCCAGCATCAACAGACAACAGCAGCAGCATTGAAGAGCCACCGGCAACAACAATATCCTACCAACTGTCAATCAACGCACAATAATAAAAATTGTAAATCGCAACCCTCGCTGTATAATAAAAGCAACACACAAATAATCGATACTACTCACCTGGTCGCCTCCACCTCCAACTCAACTACATCAAACATAACGACTTTACCAATGCAATTTAATCATCAAAGAAATATGAATGTGAGAACAGTATCGGCAAACATATGGCAAAACAATAAAACTGGCAACAGCGGAGACCCATATTCGTCCTCATTGTACAACAATCATGTGGAGCAACAACAAGCATGCACAAACACGTATCAAATAATGGAAACATCAACATTAAGTGGAAAGGTCACTCAACCAACATCGAGCATAAATTGTGTACGAAGGGGAAATGAAGCATTGATAAAACATTCGGAAACATTGTCGATGAGCGGTGGAAGCAATGCGATGGCAACAAAACAAATCAGTCACGATTTGAATTCTAACGAGAACACAATTTACGCGCTTAGTGAAAATAATAATAATAATAAAAATAAATATTCTCATGACGAGCAAGGGAATAATCAGCAAAATGAATATCGTTTAATATTGCTAAATAGAAATATGAATGGTGCTGATGAGTGTAAAATTTATCATAATAATATAATTAATAATACTAGTGATAATAATGTAGTGCAAATGCCATCATTATCATTATTAAGTCATCATCATCATCATAATAATAATATTCATCCACAAATGCCTTCTTCATCACAACATCAACAAAAATTTGTACATACGCAAAAGTTTACAAATAATCCGGTATCGTTAACTACTAATAATGTATCAAATGATGTACAATTCGATGCATCGACGGCATTACTTAATGTTCCCTGTACCTCAAGTGTATTATCTTTTCAAAATTATAGTAATAATGAATATCAAATGACCACCACGGAAGCGGTCGCATCAACAATAAATAAATATGAATATGATAATAAATTGACCGTTGATGCGAATAGTAATAGTGTAGATGTGCAAAAGATGATGAATTGTGTGAATGTTGAATGTTATATAAATAATACTAGTAATAATAATAATAATGAGAATATTGATAACGAATTACAAAGTTCGGAAAATAATGAGCAGACCACCATGAATGCACAGACCACAGCTTCAGCAGACAATTTAATTATCACAAGTGCCATAGAAAATATCTCTACAGCAACAACGGCATCAACGGCTCATGGTACGCCAAATAAAACAGAAAAATATTCAAATGATATCATTACGATGCGCGAAAAACGACGTCGAGATCGTCGTGATCGAAGACTGGCACGTACTAGGGCATTAAATGGTAGTGGACAGTCTGAAATATTACCTGATGTACTTAATAATCCACGACCACCACCATATTCAAGTCTACCATCACAACCGATTATTCCATCAATCATATCGACAGTGCCTGTTAATGATACACGATATAGTTTCTCATTACCATTGGTTCGACGGTGAGTACTTGTTTTTTTCTTAATACACCTCTAGGTTCCTCCATATACTTACCGGGAAGAAATAAAATAAAAAAAAAATAAAAATCTCCGCATTCTTGTGCGCGTCATAAAAAAGAATTGAATAAGAATAAGAATCGAAATATAAAAGAAAAGAACACGAAATGGCTTAACGAAAATGAAAATAAAGCAAAAAGGAGAAAAATCAAGTTTTTTTTACACACGGTAGAATTTTTTTTTATGTGAGTATCGGACTTTTGTCTGAATTATGCGATTCAGATTTGTATGGAGCTCGTAAAGAGTGTGTTTTTTTTGGAGAAAAAAAAGTTATGTTTTAGGCTGATGGGGATTATGCTTTGAAGATGTTTTTGGTTTTGGTTTCAGATTTTTTCGAGTTTCTAATCTTTCGGATGCTTTTGGCTACAATGTTTCGGTTTTTAACTTTTTTTATGGAAATACTCTGACTTAGCACATAGGGATCAATTTTGTTCAGCTTCTTAAAGCTACTAGTTGATAAAAACATTGAGCCGGAAGGTGTTGGACCTACTTAAAAGGTTGAAACACTTTTGCTAATAATTCAGCAAATAAAAATAATTAATCTTGCACGAGTTTCTAGGACTACCCGTGATACTCTACATATTTATATAATGCTTGAGCAGAAGACATTGCAAATTTATATCTATTGTACCACACTCTTTAGAACTGCAGTTTATAGTTGCATCCGAACCACTTGCGATACTTTAGCCTTGAATCAAAAATCTGCGAAAATCAATCGAATATTTGGTTTTTAACGAAGTTTGGCTAAGCAGCACCCGAATGGCATAAGTCGGTTAATCGATCTGAAATCTGGAACCAAGCCGGTGTGACTCTAGCATGGCACTGAATTTTAAATCGAAGCCTGTTCCATGCCAGAATCAAACCAGCTTGGTGCTGGATTTCTTTTCGATTGACCGACTTGTGCAATTTGGGGAATGATTGTTTCTTCTTTACATAACCTTCGGTTCTGTTACTAAACAGCAATTGTAAAGTAATTGACTATTTAATACACGACAAATCTTAAGAATTGATAAACTGCACCATTAATGTTGCTAGCTTATTTTATAATGCAGATTTTTCATCTAAAACTCTTCATAGCTATGCCACTACTAGCCAAAGGTTCTCAATCCTCCAGACCTCTTCTTCCTCACTTTAGTATTGTGATTTGATAGAATTGAGGATTAAAAAGGAGGATTCTTATGTCAAAAATGACACAAATGAACACAATCGACAGCCAGCATCACCCTAACCTTACTTACTGTAATCATGTTCCTATGTGGAGCTTAGGTTACATCAAAAGGTTTTCCATCTGACTTTGTTGCTGGCTCTTTCACCAAGTTTGTACAACTTCTCTATCCGCACATTCAGCTGACATTATTTCATTACTGTTCTGCGCCAAGTAGCTTTTGAAGCTCCTGGGTGTCTTTTTCCTTGCAAATTTCAACCAAAGAGGGTGTAACAAACTTGTGTTTCTGTCCCAGCAAGGGATTTTCAATCCCGGAATTAAAATGTACTGAATCCTGGGTTTGATCCAGGAATTACATAAATTGCAATCCTGGGATTGAAAACCCTAGTCTCAGCAATGACATTCTCTCTGGCACCTTTAACCTTAAATCATACGAAAAATATTCCAAAATTCCTTCTCGTCTTCACCCAAAAAACATCCCTTCATAAATCCCTGCCTTAAAGCATCCCCAATTTCCATTATCTTCTGTAATCAAGGAGGTTCAAACTCGCAATTACTCACTCATTTTATACTCCCCAATTTTTCCATGGATAAAACTAAAACTGTGACTACATAAAATGACGAAAGCAGAAAAAAAAATTGTCATTTGCTTTTATGTCTGGAAGACATTTAATGATAATGGAGCTTAAAGAAGGAACCAAAAATGGGATGAAAAAAAAGTTATTTTTTGATCATAATTTTTTATTTGTTCTACAAAAAGGAAGCAGAACTCTGAAATTGAGAGACTCAGAGGAGATGAAAACGGAAGGGAAATGAAATGTTTACGAGATTTGTGTTGTTGGAAATTGAAAAATTAAGAACGAAAATATGAATAGATGGAGGAATGGCAAAAAAAAAGTTTTTTTTAATGATGGAAATAAATTGGACTTAAAATTGCCTTTTGGGAGGAAGTGAGCAAGTTTATTCGTAGATTAATATCATGGTTAACAACTTTGTGGTTTTAAGAATTTTTGAAGATCAAAATTGCTCATTTACAGTTCCAGACAGCCTCAATAAAACCTTAATCCTCAAGTTATTTTCATCAAATTCTTTCCCTTGACTCTAAAAATAATCCAGACAATCTCCGAATATCCCCTCATTACCACACCAACTCAAAAAACGTTAATCTCGACTAGCTCATATACGAGCATGTACATGAATATCTACATAATATGTTCAAAACGTGAAGAGAGAAAAAAATTATATCGCATAACATATAAATTCACCCTAAATCGCTTAGTGAGGCATCTTTATTGGCTTTCGTGCACAAATATCATGTTCTTTTATTATCCCAAGCAACAACTTTTAGTAGGAATAAGACGAAGAAGAAGAAGATTCTCAGAATGATGAAGACACAGTGAAGCTGCTTTTATTACTCTCAAGTTATTACGAGAAACAAGCGATGGAAGGAACGGATTAGTAGACATTGGGTATGGTCGTTTGCTCTCAAATGCTTTTAGCATAATGCGTAGCAGACATTATTATGATACTGTCATATATGCTTTAAAGTGCATGAAAAGTATTTTTTGCTTGTTATTTGTCCCGAGATGTATATGAATAAGTTAAGGTTTAGGTAAAGTTTGGGGGAAGGGCTAGTGTCATTGCATCAAGCATATCAAAAAGTGCCATTCTTACATAACGTCCATCAAAAATTGAGATTTTAGGGGCACCCTCCCCTGCGTCACAAAGTTTTAAGGTAGAAGCTGACCATCCTTTCTTTCCAGAAGCTTATAATCATTTATGAACGAAGCCTATAATTAAACTCAATAGCTTCGCTTCTGCTAGATATCTTCTATTGCAGACCGACCTAGACCAGTTGTGACCAACCTTGAGGCGCGTAGCCAGGAGGGTCCCCAACCCTTAAACGTTTTGAACCGTAGCGAGAGCGCGGTGTAAAACGCTTAACAGGGGGACAATACCCTTCTGGCTACGCGCCTGCCAACCTTTATTATGCCCTTTATACCTTGCCTTTATACATTTATACCTTGCCTATCATGGCTTGCCAGAGATGGTTCGTAGAGTTTCCTGAATATTTACCTTGCACACTATTGTGCCGTGGCATATGGGTTGACCATCACTGAACTAGACTTTAAGCAAGGAAGCTCCATTTTGTATCAATGACTGCATAGCTTAAGCTGTGATACAGTAGACAAAATCACACATTCCACAAACACAAGTCTAAAAGGTCATGCTACTCTAAAAACAATCTCCTCATATTCCACTCGGGCAATAACTTCTATAAAATATTTTTCTACAAAAAAAAAGTTATTTTCTCTATTAGATGTGGAATTTCACACAAAAGAAGTAGAAGTAAAAGCAGCAGCAACATAATCATCGAAAGACATGCATCAGGAATGATATACTTCTATAATTTTCTTCATTTTCTTCTCTCTCGTCTGCCCGATGTGAATTAAATTTCTAAGAAATTTTTATGTTATGTTCTTTCTGATACTCATAAATGATTATGAGGTGCAGACTATTTGTAAATGGTATTAATTTAATAAGAAGCTAATATGGAATGAGGAATTCTTTTTGTGTTCTTTATTTTGTCGGTGAGGAATTTTGTTTGCTGGTTAGAGAAGGAATGGATTAATTAAAATGAGAACGGATATGAAATGCGGAAGTTCCTGAAGTTTTTTTTATGGAATTTAGGATGTGGATGCAGTTTAAAGATGAAATGAAGCTAGGCATTTGGCAGACTATAGACTGTAGATGACTTCAAACAAACCTATTTACCTGAATATTAAATGTGATTTATTAGTAACGTTCAATGTCAGTAATGGTCAATCTTTTAAAATTTAACAACTATATTGGTTTCTAGAGCTACCTTGGCCAGTGGAATTGATGCTTTTAGAACTTGTAGATCCAGAAACTAGCCTCAAGTGATCCCCGAAAGACACAGCGTAAAAATGGCTGTCAATCTAACATTCAAGAAGGCATGAATGGATTTGGTAAAATCTAGCATGGTGCCTCATTTTTGCCGTCCAAATTGAAAGCCATTCTTATGCCTTGTGCTTAGAGCTCAAAGTCGACTTGAGATTTTCATCGATTTTGTATGGCGGAATCGACTCTATACAAAATTTCATCGACTTCGAGCTCTGCTTGTGACTTTCGGGACTCTTAGTTCGACCTTTTAAGAGCCTGTTTTGCCTATTGGGGATTGGGGGTTGGATCTGAACATCCAAAATGGTTAAAGCTCTTGATGTTGAAGCATAAAAATTGACATTTTCATAGAAATTTAATAAAAAATCCCCCCTGACTTAATAATGAAATTATTAAAGCTCTTGTTTCTATGCTAACAGTAATTGAAGTAGCTTGACAAATATGAACAAGAATTTTCTATCGTTAAAGTACAGATAGACGTTATGATTTCTTTCTGCTCCCTTAATTTCATAAAGTACTTCATTTTGCGGAGTCTTTATGAATTTTGTTCTTGTCTAGCGAATATGGAATTCAATTCATTATTAAGTTCAAAGACTAGCTACATTAATAAGACATTTTTATGTTATTAAATTTTTTTTTCTGACATGTCAAAGAGAATGTGAATGAAAATTTTGAAATTAATTGGTGGAAAAAATATGGTTTGAGAAGGTTTTAGGGTAGGTTATGGTCCTCTTGAAAGTATTGTTGTCGTGGAAGTCAAAATTGTCACTTAGAGATTTTGAGAATTATGTTCTGAGCAGAGTTGCGACACAGTTCAACTGTCACAAGCACAGGTGATCTGTCACAGATCTGTTAAATC